GAAATAAATCATTCTCTCTACTATTATTCTGACATTTCACATTCTTAAAATAAAGTGGTGATCCTAACTGACCTAAGACGGGTAATTTTTACTAGGATTAAATGTCAGGAATTGAGAAAAACTAAGTTTAAATGTATTTGGCTAAGGTGTATGTAAACTTCCGACTTCAACTGTTTGTCGTGTAGCTGAGAGCGGAGTGAACCGAGTCACACAGGGTTGTGACTGGTTGTGACAGCTAAGGAGGACACTGGGTTGTGACTGGTTGTGACAGCTAAGGAGGACACTGGGTTGTGACTGGTTGTGACAGCTAAGGAGGACACTGGGTTGTGACTGGTTGTGACAGCTAAGGAGGACACTGGGTTGTGACTGGTTGTGACAGCTAAGGAGGACACTGGGTTGTGACTGGTTGTGACAGCTAAGGAGGACACTGGGTTGTGACTGGTTGTGACAGCTAAGGAGGACACTGTGTTGTGACTGGTTGTGACAGCTAAGGAGGACACTGGGTTGTGACTGGTTGTGACAGCTAAGGAGGACACTGGGTTGTGACTGGTTGTGACAGCTAAGAGTAACCTGGTGTGACTGGTTGTGACAGCTAGGGACACTTGTTGACTGGTTGTGACAGCTAAGGAGGACACTGTGTTGTGACTGGTTTGGACAGCTAAGGAGGACACTGGGTTGTGACTGGTTGTGACGCTAAGGAGGACACTGGGTTGTGACTGGTTGTGACAGCTAAGGAGGACACTGGGTTGTGACTGGTTTGACAGCTAAGGAGACCTGTGTTGTGACTGGTGTGACAGCTAAGGAGGACACTGTTGTGACTGGTTGTGACAGCTAAGGAGGACCTGGGTTGTGACTGGTTGTGACAGCTAAGGAGGACACTGGTTGTGACTGGTTGTGACAGCTAAGGAGGACACTGTGTTGTGACTGGTTGTGACAGCTAAGGAGGACACTGGGTTGTGACTGGTTGTGACAGCTAAGGAGGACACTGTGTTGTGACTGGTTGTGACAGCTAAGGAGGACACTGGGTTGTGACTGGTTGTGACAGCTAAGGAGGACACTGTGTTGTGACTGGTTGTGACAGCTAAGGAGGACACTGGGTTGTGACTGGTTGTGACAGCTAAGGAGGACACTGTGTTGTGACTGGTTGTGACAGCTAAGGAGGACACTGGGTTGTGACTGGTTGTGACAGCTAAGGAGGACACTGTGTTGTGACTGGTTGTGACAGCTAAGGAGGACACTGGGTTGTGACTGGTTGTGACAGCTAAGGAGGACACTGGTTTGTGACTGGTTGTGACAGCTAAGGAGGACACTGGGTTGTGACTGGTTGTGACAGCTAAGGAGGACACTGGGTGGTGACAGCTAAGGAGGACACTGGGTGGTGACAGCTAAGGAGGACACTGTGGTGTTACCGTTTATGCTCTCCCCATCACGGTGACATCTAGATGGCCAATATTAGTTATATCTTGTGTTGGCTGCTATCCTACTTGAAATATCATACTGGGAGGAATGCCCACGTTACTAGCTACCGCCGGTGACACTGTGGTACAGCTGCCCATTGGCAAGCACCTACGGTCAGCAGGCACCTTGATACAACACCGGTGCACTGGTCATTCGCATTGGCTTTAGCAGCTCGCGAGTACCGGTAGTTTAATGGCTCACGACAAGGTTTATGTGTAAAATGCGGCCCGTCAATCCACCCAAAAACTTTGCGCCGGTAATATGGTTCACATCTATGAACTGCTAGTATTTATTTGAACTGCTAGCTCGAACAAGCCATAACGGTCACGAATCTGCGCTCAGTTTATTCTCTATGGCACTCAGAGGCTGTGGCACATCAAGCCTATCGTCACAACAATTATTATCTGGGTGATTTTTTTCTAGGTCAAACAGCAAGATATTTACAATCAATTTAGAGCAGACTTAAATGGCTTGCATCAACTTGCGCTAGCTAACTAGCTAACTAGGTTAGCTAAGAAAACGTGCACTGCTTGAGGCGTCACTACAGACCCGGGTTCGATCCCAGGCTGTGTCACAACCGGCCGTGACCGGGAATCCCATAGGGAGGCTCACAATTGGCCCAGCGTCGTCCGGGTTAGGGGAGGGTTTGGCCAGGGGGAGATTTACTTGGCTCATCGCGCTCTAGAGACTCCTTGTGGCGGGCCGGGCTCCTGCAGGCTGACTTCGGTCGTCAGTTGACACATTGGTGCGGCTGGCTTCCGGGTTAAGCGGGCGGGTGTTAAGAAGCGCGGTTTGGTGGGTCATGTTTCGGAGGACGCATGACTCGACCTTCGCCTCCTGAGGTCATTGGGGAGTTGCAGCGATGAGACAGGATCAAAATTGGGGAGAAAAAGGGAGTAAAAAAAAGAAATACAGTATGTTAGAGTAATTTTTACTTCCAACAGTATTTTTTCAGCATTTTACCCATAATGTAGTGCAATCTACAGCATTAATGCTCTAAAACAGATTTATGGTATTTTACTGTGCATTCTATAGTGTTTTACTGTTGAGATTACAGCAAAGTCTTACTGTGAGTAGAGCACAGTGAAGCAGCTACACGCTTCACGCTACACGCTACACGCTACACAAAACAAAACAAAACCCCTCCCCTCCCTCTACACAAAACTCCTCCCTTCCCTCTATACTACACACAAAATAAAACCCATCCCTCTACACTACACACAAACCCCTCCCTCTTAAGAAAACTCCTCCCCTCCCTCTACACTACACTACACACAAAATAAAACCCCTCCCCTCCCTCTTAACAAAACTCCTCCCCTCCCTCTACACTCCACTCAAAACAAAACCCCTCCTTTACACAAAACCCCTCCCTTCCCTGCCACATGTCCTGCCCACCTGCAGTACAGAACCCCTGATATGAGACTGATAGACGTTGTCACTGAACAGTAAACTATAGTCAGAACAACAATTCTAGTGAATATGAATTGAGTCCTACTCTCAAAACTGAAATCAGCGTTGTCATTTTGCTTGCGAATAGTCAACATGTTCAAAGTATTCATCACCTTCATCGTTCCACTCTCCTTGTTCATAGGCTTCATTTATACAAGCAGCCCAATTTTATATAATTTTTTCCCCAATCAGATCAGATCTTTTGCCAGTAATTGGGCAAGAGATCAGAATTGGATTTTACATTTAGCAGACGCTCTTATCCAGAGCGACTTACTGTTAGTGAGTGCATACGAGCCCACGAAGATCTCCTCCACCGCACGAGCCCGAGGGGGGTGCAAAACCGGACAGGAAAATCACTTTAAGTGACTATCCATCAAGTTACG